GCCCCTGCCGCCCACCCGGCCCCTGCCCGCTCCGCGCTGCCCCCGCCTGGACCCACCGCGCCCCACATATGCCCGTGGTGGGCCGGGAGGCTCCGCTGGGAGGGCAGCGCGCGGGGCCGGGGCCTGCTACTGCCCCAGGCCTCTTTAAAACTCTTTTTTTTTTTTTTGCTCCCCCCCCCCCTTTTTTTCTCCCCCCCCCTCCCGCTATTTTATACGACTAATCTGGTCACCCTAGTGTGTGCTCGCCCCGAGCACCACCACTGGAAAGTATTTCCCTCAGTGGTATCCGTTGGGTGGGCTCTGGTGCCCCTGGAGTTGCACACATATAGTGCAGATATAAAGGGTTCTCCTGACCCGCAGCCCCCTCGGTTCCTTCTTACTGCCTGTGAAGGTCACTGGAACTTCAGCTTTCCTTGCGTTTTCCGCAAGTACTCCTCTCAGTGGACTTTGATTCTTTGATTGTGCATAGTTATTTTATTCGTAGTAGTTAAATTTTAGTTGTTGAGTTAGGTAGTTAGATTAGCGAACCCCGCTGAGGCATGCCTCGGTCTCAGGGGTTTAAGCTTTGTGCTTCATGCCACAAGCCTATGCCTGTCAGTGACCCCCATTGCGGCTGCCTTAAGTGTCTGGGGGAAGCTCACATGTGGGAGTACTGCAAAATCTGCAGAAACTTCAGGCCCTGCACCAAAAAAGACAGGGACATCAGGCTTAGGTTTCTCCTCATGGAGGCAGCATTTCGCCCTCCCTTGGAGCCTAGTCACTCCGACTCAGCACTGAGTACTTCAGCCTCAATAAGAAGTGCCCTGGCTTCTATTAGTGATATGCAGCGTTGTTCCACATTTCTAGAGCCAAAAAAAGACGCTTCTTCTGCTTCTCGGGACTCCTGGCACCGTCAGTCAATCCCGGGGAAGTAATGGGGAAGAGTAACAGGAATTCTTCCTGAGCGCCAACGTCCGGAAGCAGCGTATTCCATTCTGGAAACGGCTGTTTTTCGAATGTCTGGCCACTGCGTATTGAAAGGAAGGATCTGTGGGCCTGAGAAGCTGTGGCCCTCAAGAGGTGCTTCTAAAGCCAAAGGGGCCTTGGCTAAGTTTGTGATGGCGTGACTTTGAGGAGGGTCTGAAGTGTGGAAGGGGGAGGGTAGAAAGAGACCATTGTTGTCAGAGAAAGAAGGTGCTGAACAGCCCGTCATTGAAGGAAAGGTCCCATGCAGGTGTTGTGGGAGAAGGTGTGTAGCCCCCAAAGGCAGCCTACAGCCAAAGCCTTTGGGAAGGAGAAGAGAGCAAGGGATGTTGCTGCCTTTTGGGGCCCCTGGTGTGGTGTAAGCTGGCCACAGCTGGTCTCTTGGAATTCCATGCAGTAGAAGGCCCTACCCCATTCCTTGTCAGTACAGTGGTGAGTATCCCCACCTGCCACGTGGGAGACCGGCGTTCGATTTCCCCAATGGGGAGGACAACACCTTTCAAATGGGGAGAAAGAAATGCCTTACCCAGCCAGCACATTCCTCACCTCCTGCTTCTATGGCAACTTCTGTTCACACCCCGCAGTGTTGATTTTCACCTCCAGAGAGACAATTAGCACACAAGGCCACCCCGGCTGCTTGCCCTATTGAAAGTCTCTATATTGCCTTCCACCACTGGGCCCAACTTCAAGACCTGCATGTCAGGGCACGTTTCAGGGTCACAAAGGGAAATACTCTGGTCAATGGCATGAGAACAATCGCCCAGCCAAACGGGGTGGAAGCTGGTCAAAGGGTGAGGAAGAGAGAAAAGCAGAGGCAGCAGGCTGGCCTTCTGTCTTTTTTCCTTTTGTTACAATTTTAACTGTAATGGGGAGACTTGAGAAATACCTGTGGCCATAGGTCAGGTAGGTGGCCGCCCCAAGAGCGCAGATCTGAGCATTTTCTGCTGAGCTGCTGTGTCACTTGGTGGCTGGACGTGATCATATAGTGGTTAGTACTCTGTACTGTGGCCGCAGTAAGCTCAAATCTGAATCACAGCATTGCTTTTGGTGGGGGATCTTCTGACGCGTCTAGTGGCTCAGGCTGATTGTGTCCATTTGCAAAGAGCCAGCAGCTGGTCCCTAGTTTCTGCTTAGTAAAGGAAAGTCAATCAGAAAAAGAGTAGCAGGGAAGAGTAACAGGAATTCTTCCTGGGCACCAACATCTGGAAGCAGCGTATTCCATCCTGGAAACGGTGGTGTTTCAAATGTCCGGCCACTGCGTGTTGAAAGGAAGGATCTATGGGCCTGAGAAGCTGCGGCCCTCGAGAGGTGCTCTAAAGCTAAAGAGGCCTTGGCTGAGTTTGTGGAGCGTCTGAAGTGTGGAAGGGTAGAAAGAGTCATTTGTCAAAGGAAGAAGGTGCTGAGCAGCCCATCAGTGAGGGAAAGGTCCAGGCAGGTGTTGTGGGAGGAGCTGTGTAGCCCCCAAAAGTGGCCTGCCGCCAAAGCCTTTGGGAAGGAGAAGAGAGTCTTCTAGGACCTCTCCTGTCATCCATGAGTTTGCAAATATTGTTTGCACTGGAGATAGAGACTTCTTCCCCTCCCAGGAGACCAGTGGCCATGTTGGGGCTCCCTGACAGTTCAGAATGGGGTGCTGCTCCAACCAGACCATTATACACACTGTAGCCAACCATACCATTTCTGGGGAATAAAGTCAACATAGCCTCCGTGCTGCCTCAGTGCTGAGGCCTAGCAGTGAACCTGTGGGCCAAATGCACAATATTATGCCCTCCCAATCACAGTGAGAGGGGGCTTCTCCAGAACTGCCTGGTGTAAATACGTGCCCCTCCTCCAGTCACCTGGAAGGGTAGGCCTGCATAAACATTAGCTATTTCTGCTAACAGCCCTATTGGTTAAGCACTAACCACCCCCAAGCTGACAAGCCACACCAAATTCTGAGGTTGGGGTCATGAAATCCAGCACTTCCCATGGGATTCTTCTGTAAATCAGAGTGCGGCATCACAAAGCTCCTGGAGGAGACGTAGCGCCTCCTTGATTTCCAAAGATTAGCTGACCTAGGAATCCCATCCACATTTCCTCATTTGTAAAGAAGGATACTGTGACATGAGGTCTTGTAGGAGGGGATTGAACTGTGGTCTCATAAAGGTAAGAAGGCATCTTCCACAGAGGGCAACTTGATTTTTTTTTTTTTTAAATTAAGCAACACTGAAGTGACAAACCAGTTCCCTTACTTTTATGTTGAAGCTGCTGAAGCAATTCATTTCCTGTTATCACACAGGCAAAAATCAGCATGATTTCGTCTTAGGAAACTGACAAGAGCGGAAGAGACAACTCAGTTTGAAACTGCACCCCCAGAGTGCTATGTTGGAGGCAAACAGCACCATATCCGCCTAAAAGATTCTTCTTAAAAAGTTTTGAGAGAAATCAAAAACAGTTGAGAATCATGAAAGTCAGATTGTTCCTTGGTGTTCTGCTATTACTAGACCTTTTAAGTTCCTGTTATTCTTATAAGACAAATACTTTGCCTGATATAGAAGATAGACAGTTTATTAAGGAGTGCGTGAATGCTCATAACAACTTTCGGTCCAAGGTGAATCCACCAGCCAGCAACATGCGTCACATGGTAAGGAGACCTTCACCATCTATTTGTGATGGAAATTGGATTGTGCTGTTGAATTAATACATTTGCCTTGTACTTTTCTCACTAGTTCTGTGAATATTTTAGCTACTCCAGTTGTTAGTAGTTCATAGTAAATACCAAAAAAAAAAAAAAAAAAAAAAAAAAAAAAAAAAAAAGGGCAATTAATGATTACAGCTGGGTACAGACTTGTTAAGTATTCCTCATTTGAAAGGAGAGTCCTTCATTTAAGACTGGTTTGCCAATTTGTAGTCCTTCCTGAGTCAGGAGGGAAGTGCATTGTTGTGCTGCTTCAGGAGAAAGACAAGGACCAAATAGACTTTGAGTGCCCTTGTAATACTGGCACAGCTTACTTGCCCTGCTGTCCTGGCTCAGGTGTGCTGGACAGCATGTTGAAGTGTCAAAATTAAGGCTCTTCCCACTTCTTGCCCCTGCCCAGCCACTCCTCCCCCTGGTGACAGCAGCTACTGTCCTGTCACAGCCACACACACAGTCTGATGAGTGGTTAGTTTGGGAAAGTAAAGGGGCTTCTTATGCTCCCTAATCCCTGTGCAGGTGCACAGCTGAGCTCATGACTGAGCCCTCGCTGTTTAAAAGCTACCTTAAATTAGTTCAGTTATGGAGGACAGAATTTGCAGCGTGTTTCAATAAGACACTTAGAATTTCTCCCATTCAGATTGTCATAGCTTGACAGCACATCAGATATGAGTGCACAAATATTAAATGTCTTTCAATATATGAGGGACAGGCAGGAAAGAGTGGATTTTGTAGTGAAAGGGAACGAGTGACAGGATTTTAGGAAAGACTAGATGTGGGGCAGGGAGACAAGCAGAGAAGAGTCCAAGATCACAGGCCTGGAAGGCAGGAAGGATTAAGAGAAAAGTTTCTGTTAAAGAGGTTTGAGTTTGTGCAAGTCATTGCATTTTAAGTAATTTTCGTGTCTTTTTCATTCTGCAGTCCTGGGACTCTGCTTTAGCTAAGAGTGCCAAAGCATGGGCAAAGCGATGCCACTTTGATCATAATGGCTACCTTAAAATACCAGGAAAAGTGCACCCTAACTTTACTCCAGTTGGAGAAAACATCTGGACTGGCTCTCTCTCTCTCTTCTCTGAGAGTGCAGCTATCAGCGATTGGTATAATGAAGTCACAGACTACACTTTTGAGACCCGCTATTGTACAAGAATGTGTGGCCATTACACCCAGGTGATTCTTTTGTTTCCTCCATCTTAATTTCAAATGAGTTGTGGTCTTTGAAGAGAAAAAGACACACACACACACACACATTTTGCCTTCTACAGGTCTTTGAAGAGAAAAAGGCACATATTTTGCCTAAATCACTTACAAAATTGTGATTTACAAAGTGTGGGTTAGGAGAACTTTGTGCTAAACAAAGAAAAAGGAACAGAGTCAGGAGGGTGCTGTGCAGGAAGAGACCCACTGCCCTTGGTTTTGGTGTGGAGACACAGCACCTCCATGCAGATATTCCTCTGCCTCTCAGGGAGAAATCCATGAGATGGCTGGTTCTGGCATTGAACCTGCCATGGAGGGGGAAGGAGGCATGCTCTGACAGACTGGTCTAGGGAGAACTCAGTGAGAGGATATTTAGTTTTTTCTCCCCTGTCCTCACAAGCCCTGGGGGATTTTTCTGCAGGAAGGGGATGATCTGAGTCTAAGTAGGGTGACCAGATAGTAAGTATGAAAAATGGGGACAGGGGTGGGGGGTAATAGGCACCTATATAAGACAAAGGCCCAAATATCGGGACTGTCCCCATAAAATCGGGACATCTGGTCACCCTAGAGTCTAAGAAAGATTCCAATATTACACAATCACAAACCAAATAGTAAATACAGGAATTCTTCATCTAAATGGCTCCATAGGCTGTAACTAATGCTTCTGTAGCTGCTGTTACAAAACACACACCCTCAATTACTTATTTCTTGTTGAATATCATAATTGCAGCAGTCTCTGGGTAGTCCTGGAAAAGTTTAATGTATTTTGGTTTTCCTTTTAGGTTGTTTGGGCCAGAAGTTACAAAGTTGGCTGTGCAGTTCAGTTCTGTCCTAGAGTTACAGGTTTCAAAGGACTCACCAATGGAGCACATTTTGTTTGCAACTATGCACCAGCGTAAGTTGATGTTATTTTAAAAGATCCAAGAGCAGGTGATCAATTCCACTCTGGTTGATGTTTGGAGTGGTCCAGCCAGAGAGCTGCGCCCAGGTTTCCTTGACCTGAGGAACAGTTGCCATAGACCTTTGGTATGGAGGCATGAAAGGATATGCCCATCATCTCCTCCCCTGCTCAGAGTCTGCAAAATAGCCCTTTCAAAAAACTGATTAGAGGTTATGCAGATGCAGAAGGTATAAAAACTGCACCCGGGGAGTCAGGAAGTAAACCAGTTTGAAATACAAATTGCCAACTAGAGCTTCACTGTGTCCCTCTCCATGAGGGTCAAACAGTGCACTCGTTTTAGTACAAGTTGGCAAATTGCAAACTAGCCAGTGTTACAGCTTTTCTGACAAGGGGTAAGCGTGACCATTTTCTAATAAAAACATACCACCCAATCACACCTATGCTGGGCATGAAATGAATCCACTCAGGAGGGATATCTTTTATATAACTAGGTCCTCAAGCGAAAAAGAGGCACAGTAAGTTCTGTGGCTATTCTGTATTTCCAGTTTGATTACTTACTGGGTCTTTATTACAGGAAGGCAAGAGATAGATACTGCCCCTCACTTTAGTACATGTTGGCTAGCAACCCAGTAATAATGGTTTTTTGTTATTGTTTCAGTCTGACTATTCTATTGTACTTCTGGTTAAAACCACTAAAGAACCAATTAAAAAAAAAAAAAAGTTACTTCCCCACAAAACCATTTTAGGTTCACCCATTACTAGTACACCAAAACAGATACAGTCCTTAATGCTCCTTAATAATCTGCTAACAGCCAACAAAAGCTCACTTCCTGGGAGACTTCTTATTTCCTCCATACTTGCTCTCTATTTCTGCCTAACACCTGCCTAATGTAGTTCCAGTTGTACCAAGATCTGCACAACTATGTAAGTCTCATTGCTGTCAACATGCTAAAATGTGTACAAAAGGGGGCCCTTCACAAATATTTTTAATGCAAAAAAAGTTAGTATCTTAAAGATAACCCGCAAGGGATTTTTTAAAATGGGGTTTGTGCCCCTTTTAACGTCTTGATAATGTAACAAAGTTACTGAGTTTTGTATGTTTAATTGAAAAGCTGTGGGGAGAGCAGATTCTGCTTCAACTCAAATCTCAGGAATGTCACATTTGTGCTTCTTTGATTTTGCTGGAAGATTTGTTGGAGATCTCAGCTGTGTATCGGTAGCTCTCTCGGACCTATGAATGAGTGGGAGCATTGAATTTTCAGCATAGTTCTCCTTTTTCCCAGCTGTTTTAGACATTGATAATAATTAAGTGTTGATAAAAACAGATAAGCAAAACCAGAGTTTTAAACAGACTAAATATTCTTACCATCTTAAAATCACTCCGTTTTTACTCTCATCCCACTCATAGTTGGGAGTTCTTAAAGGACCCAGAATTCAGAGGTGCTTTCACGTGGGTTCACGCATCCCACCCCTGAAAAGGGAGCCTGCTGCTACCACCTCTACCAATGTGGTCATCTCTGCAGGTGCACTCTGCTGCTGCTGCCACTGTTATCTCCACCACTGCTCACTTCTGCCTCCGCTTGCTGCTCACTTGCGGCTCACTGCTGCTGCATTCTGAGGGCCAGCCCTGCTCTTAGAGATTTCACTGGGTAGCAGGGAACCTCTCAGCTGCTGCCTCTGTTGTCTTTCACCACAACACTGTTCCCACACCAGACATAAGACTAAGCCACTAGACCAGCTCATCAAGGATGTCAGCCGTAGTAACCACTGAACAGAAACAAGGACTTTCAATCGAGTCTGGTCATTTCTGTCTTTAAACACTGGATTGGTGAGGGGAGGGTCAAATGGTGTATATAAGACCCTTGGGTAGAGTGCACATCATCAGCTGAGAACACCTGTCATTGTCCCTCTCATTTTCACTGGGATTTGGCATCCCTACCCACTTCTTAGCAAGTGAGGTTCAGTGTAAGGTGACCCAGTCAATCAGGGCATGCTAAGTACAATGCTGATGCCCTTTACTCATACAATAAGGATAACATGTTTCATTGCCCCTGCATTCAATACTAAAGTGAATTGTAACCCAAAACCAGCCAAAATTGGGGGAAAGGGAGCAGTTCTCCACCAGGCTAGCACTGCAATCCTGCTACAGCCCCACTCAAACTTTGCAGCTACTGTAAATTCAAACTCCAGAAATAAGATCATTTCCATTAAAGAAATACCCTCAAGTTACTGTCTTCCAGAATTGTGGTATAAATTCTTTAAATAAAACAGGTTATAATAATGCAGAGCCAGATTCCCAGACCCTGAATAGCACATTGCTCTCTAGGAAGTCCCAGTCATTTAAATAGGATGAGTCATGTGAGTAGCGTCCAATGTGAGTGAGAGATTCGTAGTCTGGACCAAAAGAAATTTGAAAAATAAAAATCAATTGTTTTAGAAAGTGACATATTTCTGGGTCCATGGCTTTTTTTTTTCTTCCAGAATACTCTTATGTGATTGTAACAGTTCAAATCACATGATGTATTTAAATTCTTCCCCCAAAGGATTAAACAACATTTTTCTGCTTTTCAGTGGGAATTCTCCGACACAGCCTTATAAAACAGGAGCAGCATGTAGTGACTGCAGTGATGAAAAGTGTGTGGACAAGCTCTGTGGTAAGTGCAAGGGCGTTCTATGGAGAGCAAAGTCGCATAATTGGCAGGGGAAATATGGCAGGTATTCAAGCTGTACCAGGTTAAATGAGTTATTGACATTATTCCATCAGCTGGAGTACTTTTCCTAGAATAGTTACATCTGAATTCAGAAGTGACATGGAACAGGAAAGCCAACAATGAAGAACCTCTGTGATTTCTGAAAAATAGCAATAAAGCCTGATCCTGCAAAGGGGTCTGCAACACAGACCCTTACTACTATGTAGCATCCCACTGAAGTCAGGAACCATCTTTAACATCAGTGATATTTTCAGTAAGTGCAGAGACGCTTAAAGGACAAATTCCAATACATAAAATGAAAATATCTATTTTTAGAATGAATAGCCCCACTAACCAGGCTCAGGAGTGCTCCAACCACACAAATACTTAAACCTTTAGATTTTGTTTCCTGGCTGTGAAATCCTGCTGGCATGTTTTGCAATCCATGGCATCTGATGTCACAGACTAATGCATCAAGGGATTACCAGAAACATTTCACAGAATGTGAAAAGAATTTTCAAACGTTTAAGGCTAGATCCTGCAAATATATCCACCGTTCTGATATGGAGTATGTCTGACTTCCATGGGTTACGCCCAGGCAGATCCATTTGCAGGATTCAGCCATTAATGAAAATTGTTTCTGTGCTAAATGCTTCCCCCACATCCTGCCCAGTGGGGGTTTTCAGCACAAATGTCTGTCCTTATTGCACTTTTTAAAGTTATGTAAAGCCATGACCTTTTTAAAACAATAAACCCCACCTTTTCTTTTGCGGTTTCCCTCATCTCTGTGATACCAATTTTATTTACTGCATCTTCCACCATTTTTTTAAAAAATCAGTTCACAGTCAGTGCCAAACATTTAAATACCCCTCAGCTGGGGATACAGTTTTGTTGACACGAGTCATTTTTGTAGGACATTTGGAAATCTACCTGGGGTGTGAGTGCAGACGCAGTCAGTGAGTTAGTCATCTAAATGGCATTTGCTGCTCTTCTCTTGTGCCTTTCACATCATGGGTTGCTTTATATCAGTGGTTCTTGAACTTTTGTACTGGTGACCCCTTTCACATAGCAAGCCGCTGAGTGCGACCCCCCCTAATAAATTAAAAACACAAACACAATTATAAATGCTGGAGGCAAAGTGGGGTTTGGGGTGGAGGCTGACACCTCACAATCCCCCAGGTATAACCTCTTGACCCCCGGAGTTCCGACCCCCAGTTTGAGAACCCCTGCTTTATATGATTTGCTGAGTGATCTGGCTCAAGTTTCTGCCACTTTGGCTGAAAGTGGGTGATGACCACATTCTAACTGAACAAGTCTCTGTAGAAATTTGCAGTTGTTGATCTTAGTACTTTAACACTCTTATAAAATTGAGGAGGATCATTAAGTATTACCTGCTGTCCAGGCAGGGAGAACACACAAATCCTAGACTGTTATTCAGAATATCATCAGCACCAATGGGCTATCCATTTTTCATTAATAAATAAAGCTGAACGATAGCCATATTTACATTTCTTTCTCATCTCTCATCAGAAAATCCAGAACGTGAGACATTGAAAAGTACGTATCACAATCTTATATTGTTACTTGAATTACTTAGAGTCTGCTACATATCACATGGCTTGATAAATACATTATCTCCTTTTTGTTTTCTAGGTTACTCCAGTTGGTATCCAGACTGGGACATACCTCCACACGCCAACCCCTCTGGTGCTCCACACCCCAACCCCTCCGGTGCTCCACACCCCAACCCCTCCGGTGCTCCACACCCCAGCCCTCCACACTCCTTGTGTGACCAATACTGTATTACTGTTTTAATAGTAAGGCTACTGTTTGTGTTACTGATTTTTGGTGCTGTCTTACTAGTACAATGGCAGTATCCCCAGATATTTATATATGAGTAATCTCCATTTGCCTCCTATTGTCAGTGTACATAAGCATTAGTACCAGTCAGTTTTCCTGGGCTGCTCATGTTTGTTTGGGACAAGGAGGAGGAGGAGGAGGAGGAGGTGGTGTGCATGTTAACTATTCAATCAAAGCCAGAGATTTTGTACCTCTCTGCACCCCAGGCATACCTCTTCATTGTCCATTCTTTTCCCTAAGAAGCACCTTAGAACATAAGGCGATAGCTTTAGACATTTCACTATAACTGCCTTCTCCTAACTGTCACCATTGTCAAATAATGATGTCCCATAAACACATCATGAGAATCACCCCAGATACCTTCTCTAAAGGGTTCCGCAAGTAAAGGAGGGTCATTGCTATATATATATATAAATGCTGGTGTACAGAAGCATTGGCAGAGCAATGGTGGAGTTAGCTGCCTGTATGCTTGATAGCAGCAAGGAGCCCCATTCCAGCAAGAGCAGGCTGTGTGCCATGTCCTATATAATCATCTGTTCTCCTATTGTATCCTCATCTCTAGACATTACACACACACACACTTTTTGAGGGCTGAGTGACTGTGGGGAAATAGAATACAGAGCATTTCTGCTTCACATCCAGAGCAAGTGACCGAGGACTGAAATTTTTTACCAACCAAATGACTGTTTGGTGGCCAAGGTGGAGTGAATTTCTTAGGTCTCAGTCCAATTCCAGGAGGACAAATAGATTGAGGACCTACAAGTATGATTAGAATACTCAGTATGACCCATATTCCCTTATCTGTAACTCCAAGGACTCCACTCAAAGTTTACTTGGCTTCAACCTGGGATGGGTTATAGAATCATGGGAACTCCCCTCTTACCTTCTATTTCTGTCCCCAAGCTGTTTTTCCATACATAAGGTTTTAATAAGTGTCCATCCTACCTCTGTCAGCACTGCCATGAGGCTCTTGTCTTGCTCACTTGCCAGCCTCTGCTCAGTCGCTCTGGACCCAGTGCTGCTTCCAGAAGTGTTGATTCAGCACAAGGGGCACAAGTGGAACTGCAGCAGAGGTAGGACAGAGAGAGGCCTTAAAAGACTTTACCAATGGGTTGGATTTGACATTAAACTAGCAACTAGCTTGGATTAAAATAACCCCCCAAGTCCCTGCAGTTCTAGTTGAGGGGGTGGGGGCAGGGAAAGAGCAGGAGAGGTATCTAGTTAATGCACAATAAACACCGAATTACATACCAAATGCGCTGTACATGACTTTGCTCACCTAAAATGTAAGCCACTACATTGCAAGCCCAGTGTTCTTTTGTGATACCAGACTAGACTTAATGGTCTCATATTATGACTCTAGCAATGGCTCATACCCAATTATTTACAGAAAAATAACCCATTATGCACCTGACTGATTGTGCAATGCTTTATCCCAAGAGAAAAATTCCTCCCTGACCCCCAAGGCAATCAGATTGTCTCTGTAGTATGACATTTGGCTGCACTTCTCATGCTGAGCTATGGTACAAGTATTCTCAAGAATCATAAAATTAATGATAGTCAATATTGCCCTTCAAAAATATAGATACAGCTAAAGCATTGTTCAGTTAACTGTCTGCAGCAGGGAAATGCAGAGTTTGATATTACCCTGAAAAAAGGAATATTTCTTTTTTATTGGCTGTAAATTGATACTTCACCAGTCAGAGAGAAAACCCAGGGTCATGGTGGATTCTCCATCACTGACAATTTTTAAATCAAGATTGGGTGTTTTTCTAAAAGCTGTGCTCTGGGAATTATTTTGGGGAGTTCTATGGTTGGCTGTGTTATATGGGAGGTCCCAATGATCTCTTCTCACCTTGGACTCTATGAATCCATTGAAGATACTCATGAATTGTTACTGCTACATCTCTGAAATAAGAATGACAATATCACAGCTACAAAAAAAGTTTAGTTGTGTTTGTCATATATTGCTTTTGTATATAATAAAAAAAAATCTGCCATTTACTATTTTTAGCCTTTGAATCACTGTACACTAAAAGTTATTTTTGCATTTTAATTCTTATTATTTTAATTTCTGTGCCTCCTATAGCACTATCTGCCTAGAGAGGCAGCATCATTATCCTCAGGGAAAGAAATACTTGTGTTATTGAGGAGTGTGTGAGAGCACATAACAGTGGGAAAGTGGCCTTTATTGGATTGTAGGTTGGATAGATGCAGATTTGAAAACACCTGCATATGCCATTAGTAAATAGAAAAACTGGAAGTTTAACTTTAGGTTGTGTGATATACCATGGAAAGCCTGGAAATTCAAAACGTAAAGATGACAATGCATTCCTAATGTTCAACCTTGGGGGAAGAGGAATAGAATGGGGTGGAGAAAGTGAGCTAAGAGGAAGAGTCCGTCCTGGAGACCGGAGCCTAACATTTTTGGGGAAGACTCAAAGTTGTGATGGATTCCACTCTCTTCTCCCACTATTTACCCTTAATTCACCCTGTCCACTAATACGCCTGTTCACATATCTGGATACAGAACAATGAAGAGATTTAAAAAAGTTATATTTGCACACACAAGCCCCTTTACAATGGTTAATTTGTCAGTTTCAGAAAATGATAAACAAAAAGACTTTTTACATTAGAAACCTAAAATAAAACCCCATTCATTTTTAAAATAGTTTGTTTTAGCACCTGAAATTCTTCAAGCACTTTGTGTGTATTCCACTTCTGGTGCCCATGCACCAAGTGTGCTGGAGATTGGAACGCTTTAGCCAGCCATGTCCACCGGGTCATGACTACACCCTTCCTGCCCTGGAATCCCCCATCCAAGAGCATAACGGGGGCAAAGCAACTAACCAACCCTCAGTTTGATCTTCCCACCTGGCTATGAGATGGAGCCAATTAGCAGCATCCAGTCTCTTGCACTTGCAGTTCTCCTCATTAAGTTTTTTGTAACTGGTTGATAATGTTGTGTACATTTGGTTTTAATTAAGGTGAACATTTCTCTCTTCGTTTTCCTCATCCAGTACCAGGAATTAGCTCCATGTGGGGCCAGAAGTCTCCCGGGCTTAAATATTGTTCATTATCTGAGGTGGTTAAACCCCTCAGCAATGAACATTCAATGTATTTATTTTGCCTCAGACAGGGGCATGTTAAGGACAAATGCAGTTCTTGTAGAGATTTTACTGAAAGAACTAGCATCCGTGGATTTAGCAGATTAAAACTGTGTCTCCTGGACAAATAAGTGAGGCCTGCCTCAGAACCTGGAAGGAGGCAGGATCCATCTAGTCCTCAGCACTTTTCAAATAAGAGCACCCCAGCAGCTGTTTATTCAGCCTCCAAGGACTCCCTGAAGGACTCCCCTTCTACCTTGCTGGTTGTTCCTTCATTTCGTTCCGAGAGAGGGGTAAATCCCTGCACAGGTGTGTCGGAATGGATCTCTATGTAAGGATGATCCTAAAAGAAAAAGGGATAAATCTCCTGTACTTCTGCTAAAAAGGCAGCACAAAGCCAATCTGTCACCCCTCTGGTGTCTGAAAGGACTTAGCAGCTGGGCGCTTGGAACTGGTGGCATCCAGCCCCTTTGGGATCGCTCAGGGGATTCCCAGAACTGATAGGTAGCACATCTACCTCATCAAGAATGCTTTTGGCACATATCACCTGCGTGCCACCAACTCCAGTACCAATGGGGTCATGGTTTGTCTCAGCACCCCAACAATTGTTGCCGAGCTTTATGGCACCCGAGGATTTAGCCACCTCTACTTTTCCTGAATCTTTTATGCTGGCTTCATAGGAGTCACAGATGTTTGTACCAAAGGCATCCTCAGTACCAGTCTGGAAGCCTTCTCCAATGCACTGCTTCCAAACTCCACTAAGGACTGCTCTACCACTGCAGGAGGAAGGAGGATTTTCCTCCTCAGCCCCTAGTAAAAAGAATTTGAAGAGCAGTTAGCAAAAGATGACAACTAACAGCAATTTTTTTTAAGTAGATCAGAAGCAGGAAGCCTGCCAAACAATCAGTGGGGCTACTGGATGATTGAGTTACTAAAGAAGCACTTAAGGCCATTGTAGAGTAGCTAAACAATTCTTTGCATCAGGTTTCATTGCAAAGGATGTGAGGGAGATTCCCACACCTGACCCATTATTTTTAGGTGACAAATCTGAAGAACTATCCCAGATTAAGATGGCAATAGAGAAAGTTTTAGAACTAGCTAATAATTTAAGCAGTAATAAGTCACCAGGACCAGATGGTATTCACCCAAGAGTTCTGAAAGAACTCAAATGTGAAATTGCAGAACTACTAACTGTGGTATGTAACCTATTGCTTAAAATCAGCCTCTGTACCAGATGACTGGAGGATAGCTAATGTAATGCTGATCTTTTTTAAAAGGCTCCGGAGGCAATCCTGGCAATTACAGGCCAGTGAGCCTAACTTCAGTACCAGGCAAATTGGTTGAAACTATAGTAAAGAACAGAATTATCAGGCACATAGAGGAACATGGTGCATTGAGAAAGAGTCAGCATGGCTTTTGTAAAGGGAAAATCATGCCTCAATCTATTAGAATTCTTGAGGGTGATAAACATGGACATGGGTGATCCAGTGGATATAATGTACTAGGCCTTTCAGAAAACTTTTGTCAAGATCCATCACCAAAGGCTCTGAAGCAAAGTAAGGAGTCATGGGATAAGAGGGAAGGTCTCCTGTATCAGCAACTAGTTAAAAGATAGGAAACAAAGGGTAATAAACCTTTAGATAGCCAATCCTGTAATAAAACTACAGGTGTTAGCTTTGGTGTAAGATCTAGGGGTAAATGACTGGTCTCTTAGGACTGGAAGCAACCTGAATATAGTGTGATTTTTGGTGTAAGAGACCATTTACCCCTAAGTCCAGTGGCAAGATAGGACTTCTAAGGGGATTGTCTGTGACTCCATGATAAGACTGTTATAGTGATGCAAAAGTTCACATTTGTTACTGGGTTGGTGAAATCTAATAAAACACACCACCAGTTTGGGGTGTCTGCCCTGTTTTTTAATCTCTGCCCAGAGG